CGAGGATCCCTATCTAAGCATCCTCAACTTCCGAACGACAGACAAATCAGATCAAGCCTCACCAGCTGAAATGCTCATGGGAAGAAAGCTGAGGACACTTCTTCCGTCTGCAAACAGGATCAAAAGGATCGTTAGCAGTCGAATGATCAAAGACAGGAAGGACAAACACGCAAAATACTACAACAGTAACACCAAAGACCTAGCGACTTTGAAACCCCAGGAGTTCATCAGGTACCGAGACAGTCGCAGCGGTACTTGGGAACCAGCTCAAGTAAAAAAGCAAGTAGATAACAGGTCTTACATCATCCGTACAAAGAGAGGTTTGCTTCGCAGAAACAGACAGCACCTCTTGCAGTCAGGAGAGCCTCATCATGACCTCCAACCAGACCAGTGCGAGGGTGGTTCATACAGAAGCAATGTCCACAATAATGTCCCCGCACCCATCATACGTGGTCAAGCTGGACCTCAAGCGTCCAGACCACTGGTCGAGTTCCCAAACTCACCACGAAATGATCATGAAGTGTACGAACACACTCCTGATCGTGGAGGCACCCCGCCTTCACCGGAACACTCCGACACACACAACGTTCCACATTATATCACTAGAAGTGGTCGCACAGTGAGGAAACCAAACAAATATACGTTGTAGGCAAAGTCATTAAAAATGTTATTCACTGTTGACCACAACACTCATGCAAAATACACTATGCATATTTTACACTAAAGTAAAAGCTCAGAGCTGACCAGTTTAATACTTGTGTTAAAACTAGCTCACCACTGGATACATTTATGTGTGTGATCAAGTCATGATGTCATCAAGGACTATCGTTCTCAAGGTTGATGTTCAACATCCGTTACAAAAGGCAAACGTAACTTTTAAAAGAGGGGGGATGTCATGTGTGTACATCAATAGCTTGGACTTAACTGACCAGCTATGTTATAACGGCTCAAGGCCGTAACGTGACCTTTTTGGTAATAAAGGACAACTTCCGTTACTACTCATTCTCACTGAGGTCTTGTGTTTGTTTGTGAGCACGTTTTATAATAATTCGTCAAGCTATAAGCATAGCCAAGAACGTAACAGTGACATAAAGAAGAACAGCAATTTTGCCACACTATAAATTGCATATTATTCCTAAAATCTTGAGGAAGATACGAGAATTTAGTTGACTTTGGGTTACAACTCACCAGAGGAATGAGGAGTTGGAATTTCCTCCCTACTCGTAGTAGTAGGAGTAGTAGATCTAGTAGTAGTAGTAGTAGTAGTAGTAGTAGACGACGAAGGTGGGCGTGGTCGCAGTGGCAGTGGCAAACTGACCTCTTCTCCTTCACTCTCCGAGCCTTCAACATCACTGTCAATATCTCTTGTAATGAAATAATCCTCAATAACACTGATCAAATCGTTATTTGGGGCAACGTCTGACAAGTTAATCGGTCCGAGGTCGTTCAAAATGTCTGCGATTTCTTTCTCTCTCGCTTGGCTGGCAGCCATTTTGAAAGTGGTTGATAACGTAAACAAGACTGGACTGTGTCCCACAAAAAGTAAAAAACACACTAGACCAGCCCAGAAATTTAGATTTTAACTGTTAAGATGATACAAATAAACAATAACCTTTAATTTTCACCACATTTCACGGCACTGGAACCACACGAATAAAAGAAAAAAGCAAAAAAAGGTAGCACAAGTGAACAACAAGTGGCTTGTATTAGCTTTCATAACAGGGTCCTGATGCGCAGATTGTTTAGTGAGGTCAGTGTGACTTGTATTAATGCGCACGACATTCCAGAGGAAACCCCATTGAGAGACCTTTAAAATGGTATGCAATTTGGGGGTATTGCCTGGCCTCCTTTTGGGTTTAAAGAAGTCCCAAAGTAATAAGAAAATTACGCAAATAGGTCACATAATTGTGGTTGATTGTGAACACCCATGTCTTTAAAAAAAATTATTTTAAAATACTTTTAGGCGTTATTAAACACCAACAGGTCTTGAAAATGTTATAAAAATGGTTAAACTAGAAGTTCCAATCAAGAACTCATTTTTGATCAGATGACGCATTTTGACCATTATAGCGGATTTACTCAAAATGAACCGAATCACCATGCGACTGATTCTCTCAGAGCAGTCTACATATACCACTGGAAGCCCTTAAGGCAGATAAATACACATCAGTGGAAATTCTCTATGCTCTATTCGAAAAAGTTTGGCAAGAAGGGGAAATACCGTCAGACTGGAAGGAAGGCCACCTAATCAAGCTGCCAAAGAAGGGAGACCTCAGAAATTGTAACAACTACAGAGGCATAACACTCCTGTCCATACCTGAGAAAGTCTTTAACAGGATACTCTTGGAGAGAATCAAGCTGGCAACAGATGAGAAGCTCAGAGGAAACCAGGCAGGATTCCACAAGAACCGATCATGTGTGGACCAGATCGCTACCCTGCGCATCCTTGTTGAGCAATCGCTTGAATGGAATTCACCACTAGTGGTCAACTTCATTGATTATGAAAAGGCATTTGACAGCGTGGACAGGGAAACTCTGTGGAAACTCATGCGGCATTACGGAATACCTGACAAAATCGTCAAGCTTGTAAAGACCACCTTTGATGGAACAAACTGCCAAGTCTTCCATGAAGGACAACTCTCAGAACCATTCCAGGTACAGACAGGAGTGCGACAAGGATGCCTGCTCTCACCTTTTCTCTTCATATTTGCAATTGACTGGATCATGAAGGAAGCCACCAGAGGCAAGCGAAATGGAATACAGTGGATCCCTTGGCAGCAACTGGACGACTTGGACTTCGCCGATGACCTGGCACTGCTCTCTCACACACATGCTCAGATGCAAGAAAAGACCAAGGAACTCAACAGCCTTTCAAGGAGTGTCGGCCTACGTAAACACCCGGGCAAGTCGAAAGTAGTGAAGCTAGGTAAAGTGTCAAGCCCTGCTCTGACAGTGGAGGACGACCCCCTAGAAGAAGTGGACTCCTTTACCTACCTTGGAAGTGTCATCGATGGTAAAGGTGGAACTGAGGCAGATGTAAAAACAAAAACCGCCAAGGCAAGGTCAGCTTTCAAGCAATTATCAAAAGTCTGAAAAGCAAGCAACATCTCACTGCACACCGAGATTCGACTCTTTAATTCCAATGTCAAGTCTGTGCTCCTCTACAGATGCGAAACTTGGAAGACAACAAAGACAGTGCTGAATAAAGTCCAGACTTTCATCAACAGATGTATGAGGAGTATCCTAAGGATTAAGTGGCAGGATAGAATAAGAAATAAAGAGCTATGGGAATGGACTGGTCAAAAGGATACAGAAGTAGAAATAGGACTAAGGAAGTGGCGTTGGATGGGACACACCTTCAGAAAGCCCAGCGGAAACATCACAAGAGAGTCACTGCAAGGGAACCCAAAGGGAGCTCGAGGCAGGGGTAGGCCACAGGGAACACGGAGGAGATGTGTGGAAAGGGACATGAGAGAGATGAAGCTCACTTGGAACGAGCTAGGAATGATGGCCCAGGATAGAGAGAAATGGAAGGAGCTTGTATGTGGCCTATGCCCTGCCAGGGGTGAAAGGCATTGGTGATGATAAAGAGCTTTCAATTCAAATCTGGCATTTGTTGTTATGTATACTGTCATCTACATGCTGCCTTCTCTTAATGCAGTTTCTATAGCTAATATTGTATTGACCCGTTCATAGTTGATATACTAGTATATACGCACCCATATGCACGCATATAACGTAATATGTTATACAGCACACAACAAACAACCTGTGTCTGTGGTGTAGCTGTTAGGCACTCCGCTGTTTCAAATACAAGACCCGAGTTCGATTCCCGAGAGAGCAAAATTTTTATCAAGTATTTCGTTCTTTTTGCTTGGATGTTGTATCACTCTCAGTCTGGGTTGGCCCAGACAGGCAAGCGTGAGTCAGATAGGAGAGAGAGAGAGAGAGAGAGAGAGAGAGAGAGAGAGAGAGAGA